GTATGTAGGTAGTGTATGTATATATATGTAGTGTATATATATATATATATATATATATATACATTTATATGTAAGGAATTTATTCATAGGTCAATCGGTCCCTTTATGACGTAAACTTTGCTTATTGCTCTGCACTCAATGTTGTCGCGTGCATCATAGGCATACGCATTCCTTGCGAAGCTTTTACCAGGTGTATATCATACAACTTATCTGTCTACATGATGTCTCTGTACACAGGCGCATTTCTGCCACCATCTATTCCGTTGTCGGCCGCCTATGGTATATAATGGCTATGCCTTTTCTTCTTGTTGATTCATATGTCTGTTTCTTATTAGAATTGTGAGCCTGGTTGTCTATTCTTGTTTGTTTGGTGGAAAGCCTGGCGTATCACTATAACCCTATCCGGTTTTTCGCACCTGACAACCACTGACTCTCACCATCACCGGGGGCGTGTATAGCTGTATAGCCTATACCACCTATAGAAGCATATACAGTACATATAGGGCGTGTATAGCTGTATAGCCTATACCACCTATAGAAGCATATACAGTACATATAGGGCGTGTATAGCTGTATAGCCTATACCACCTATAGAAGCATATACAGTACATATAGGGCGTGTATAGCTGTATAGTTTATACCACCTATAGGAGCATCTACAGTACCTATAGGGCGTGTATAGCTGTATAGCCTATACCACCTATAGAAGCATTTATAGAACATATAGGGCGTGTATAGCTGTATAGCTGTATAGCCTATACCACCTATAGAAGCATATACAGCACATATAGGACCACTGCCAGTGCTTCAGAAACTTCTACTCAAACACATACAACCCACATGTGTCCGTGTCTGCATATGTTTCTGTGCCAGGTTCTCGTCCTGGGAGCAATCTGGGTATGTCTCTGTAGACGATGAGACGGATATAGCGGACTGTGTACTGTATCCCAGGCCGGACGAAGTAAGGCTATCAGCATACACTAAGTTTATTCATGCTCGCATATCAGCGTTCCTGGCTGTTTAATAGTAAAATTTCGGTATTTAAAGTAGTATCCCTGTCCCCAATGTGTGAAATCCAGAAGAAATAGTCGATATCTTTTGAAACGTACTTGCAGGAATATTTTAGATTGTATACCGCTCTGCGATCAATTGTGGAGTTTGCGGGCAATTCCGAGGTTTCTCGGAAGAAAGAGTTGGAGTTCTTCATGGCCATGTTGAAACATCCGAAAGAAGAGTAATTGAGTGGCTCCTTTATATATATGTGTGTGTGTGTGTGTGTGTGTATGTCTGTATGTATATATATATACTGCAAAGTACGGCCTGCGCAAGTCTCAAAGTCCGTGTACATCCCGTACTGTCAACACACAAACCATCTGCGTCTGTATCATTGGCTTCTGCATGCATGATTGTCCATCCTATTCTTAGTCTGTTGTCTATACGGTTTATAGTCTGTAGTCTCTACTTCTATTTATAGTCGTTTAAATAACTACAGTGCCCACTACATCATCTCCTGAGTGTGCTTGTTTGCATTTAGTATGTGCAAGTATGCGTTAACCGGGTTTTAGTGGGGTATAGGTAGCTTGGGACGAATTTAGTATGTGCAAGTATGCTCGTTAACCGGTTTAGTGGGGAGTAGGTAGCTTGGGA